CCGCCGCCCCTTCTGCGCGGGGGTGGGCCTACAGGGAAGGGCTAGTCCGCGCGAGCCGCGCCCAGTCGGGTCTGGGCGTTGTTAGGGCTCCTGGGAGGGCAGATTAGGGAAGCCCAAGGCGGGGAGCTCGAAAAGTCGGGGCTTCAGCTGGCGGAGCCGGCAATTGTTAGGCGTGAAAAGGCAGCAGAGAAAGGACGGGGCAGAATTCTTTCGTATGGGGCAGGTACTCACCCGATTGGAGCAGGCACAGGCTGAACCCGGGAAAGCGTGCGGGGGATCCGTGCGGGAGCCTGGGCGGGAGAGAGAAGGGGCAGGGGGCATCCGGAGGACAAGCGCTCCCCCTCGGCGAGGCGAGCCCAGGGCTGCCCTGGTGGCGTCCGTGGTGGGGACCGCAGCTCGCGGGTCTTCCCGGCCGGCGCGCAGCCCTAGCCCCGCTCTGGGGAGGCCCCCGGGCGCAGTCCACCGCGCGGCCCTCGGGGCGTCCAGCCGCCGCGCCGTCCCGCAGCGGGCCAGCGACCCGGAGGCAGCGGCGCCCCCGGGTTTGCTCTCCTGTTTGCAAGGTGGCCTCATACGACTAATACCATCAATGACAGACACCCATACACCTCGGATTATAGGAACAGGAATTTTTTATCCCCAAATTTACCGACCTCTATTTTATCCTTTAAAAAGAGACTTCGCTGTAGACCAGGGAAATAGCCTAAAGCACTCTAAGCAGAATTTTGTAGCCCGAGTGCATTTTAAATTTCAGGTTTCTCAAAGGAAGAGAAACTCTGCTTTTAGAATTGAGAAGCAGGCGGCGCATGCCTGCCTGTTTGCTAGTTCACAGGAGAGCTGTATTTACCTTTCCACTTCAAATTTTGCCAGATTCTGGATTTAAAAATGAATCATGGAAAGATTTGAGAACCTGGAATCTCGCCATTGTTTCAGCATTATAGCAAAATAAGCAATAGTCAATTTTTTAAATCATTGTTAGAGAGGAAATTTACATTTATTTTATCCTTTTGTGTGATTGGCATCCTTTTGTGAGAAGAAAAATGTGCATTTTCATTAGGCAGGAAATGATCGTAGTATACGCTATTGAAGCCCAGTCTTAGTATCCTGAGTTCCCTGCAGTTCCTCCTCTTATTCTTTCTGAGAACTGCCTGCTTCAAGTCTACTCTGAAGATTGCATTTGTCTTGGTGTAAGATATAGATTCATTTTTATTTAGAAGTTACAATAAGTCTTTACAGAGATATTGCTTTCTAAAGTTGCCACAGTTTGACAAAGAACTTACGTTTTCCACTTTCTACTCTGAGGATTCAAGTTTGAGTGTTCAGCCTGGTAATTCAGATGATGGGAGATAAAATTAGATACAGAAGAGAAGAAGAAAATCCCTTATTTACACATTATTTAGCCACAACAAAGATTTAACGCAGTCACTATCAGATTTCTTATCAAATATATCATTTTTAAAACATTCTCTTGATTGTATTTCATATTTTCCCTAGGAATCTACAATTAGATGAAGAAAGGTTCACATACAGCATTCCTTTGATTATGCATAAAATGTTTATGTTGCACAAAATAGCGAAGTGTTAATTCTCACACTTGATGAATGCAGAGAATTATTCCACAGACTGACATTTCCATTGTAGGTCTGCGTACTGCGCTTTTCAGGAAAAAGAAAGTGAAGGGGTAAGTTTAAGGAAAGAAATTCTTTGTGCTTTATTTTCTTTCACTGTAAAGAGGTTCCGTGGTAGGCAGTCAGACAGACAGACACAAGCAAAGCAAGGAAGGCAGGCACCAGGGCGGAAAGCCCCTGATGCCTAGCAGCAGGCAGAGAAACTGGGAAGACAAGAACCTTTCCCCCAGGGTAACATTCCCTCCCCTAGTATATGACTGGTCATGCAGGTTTAGACCCCCTGACCTTTCCTATCCCTGGTCCTGACATCCACATACTCTCCTGGCTTGCTGGTAATCACGCGGGTTGGACCTCCTTCGATGACGACCACTCAAAGGGTCTGGAGAACAGCTCTTAAGCATTATTTAGACCCCAAGACAATGAAGTTCTGATCTGCATCAAATACATCTAGGTATGAGTCGTGTTTCAGCTCCAGGCCCAGAAAAGCAGCAAGACCAGACAAGCGACACCACAGCTAACATCCCGACCAGCTGCGTTTGCTGGCAGCCGCGAGTGGGAAGGGCACCAGGCGTCAGGCTGGACTGGACCTCGGTTCACGCTCTAGATACTTGAACTCTGGCTAGGAAAGAATTCAGAGCCAACACGCAAACTCTAAGGGGCTTGTTTATTTAGAAAGTCACAGAGGTAGAGAAAATGAGCAGTAGAAGGAATGGGCTCAGGAAATAAGTTCCAAAGGCAAAAGTTGGGGCCCTTGCAGTGTAGGAGAGAGAAGGCTAAAGGTAACTTACGTGGGGTGGGGGTGGGGGGTGTCAAAGAGGAGGGGACAGGCCGGAGCATGCTCCTGGGAGAGGGAGAGCACTCTGGGTCCTCTGTCCTAAGGGCGTTTAAGGGTGGAGATTTTAGGGGAGGTCCCAGGGGAGGATCTCAATAGAATGTGCCTCAGCTTTCCAGGTGTGGTCCCCACTGATTGGCCAGGGGCACGGCAGGGAGTCTTTAGTCGCTGCAGTTGATCCAGGCATGAGGCACCTGGTTTTGAGACTTTTCTGAGCCTGGGGCTGAACCGCCACTGAAGCCTTGATGATACCTCTACGGAGAAAAGATCAAGGGGTCTAAACAGCATGACCAGGGAATTGCTAGGGGAGAAAAGATTAGGAGACCTTCTGTACCTGGCCCACCATTTTTGCTCTGACTGCCTACCACACACTGACTAAAGAGAAAATTTGAAACTAAGTTTTTCACAACATCTGCAACTGATTCTGTGTTGACTGATTGCTCTCTGGAAGCTAATTACATCCTTTTAAAGATAAATTTATTCAAAAACTCGCAACTTACTCAGTCATTCTTAAATCCTAACAAATGATTTAATTGTTGTTACCTCAAGTTAGAAAGCATAACTGGTACAAAAGTCATTCACATGTCCTACTGAATCATCACATCACTAGTCGATGGCTTCCCTGCAACTATCCTGGATAGTTGAGTGAGCTTCAAATCAGTGCAACCTTTACTGGGCTTTCTGCCTAATTTTATGAGTTCTGAGGACCCCCTGACTCCATCTAGCTCGTCCATGATTGTGTTCAAGCTTATAATGTGTACAGGCTATTTATTATCGTGATCCTGCTTAGTTCTTTTGACTCACTTGCTTGAAAATCCTTTTTGGTTAGCTAAGTAGTTACTGATTACCTTTCCTACTACCAAGGTAAGAAGAACAAGAGAAACATTGGAAAGTGGACTCTGTAAAGGCTTTGTGCTTCCTTGAGACTTATAAGATCGCACTTATTTAGAGTAAAATATTACTGTCCAGTGGTGCCTAGGTGAAACGTGCTGCATGTAAAGCTAAAGTTAAAGTTATTTATAATGAGTGTCTGTACACAGTAGGATTTCCTGCTTGGAAATTTATTGGATCAAGACCTATAAGTTGAAGATAATAGTAATTAAATTGAAGATATTATGTTTACTATTAATTTATATATGTATTTTTATAGTTTTAAGTATAATTATTCAACTTAGTCTAGCAATAGGTAGATAAATATATGTTGCTTTTTAGAGCCACATATATCTCAAGATCTCTGTAACAATGTATATTCATGAAAATTAACTATGCTGTCTTGAGTATTCTGTAGGAAATTTATGTTAAATAGTAAGAGTACTTTTTTCAAAGTGGAGGAGGAGTTCTTTTTCACATTTTATTGATATAGGCAGTTTTGTGCTTCATTAGGAAGTATCATCAACTCTAGTGTACAGCAGTAAATAAGTAACACCGTTGTGACATTGATACTAAAACATTATTTGAAATCAAAAAACATATGAGATGTTAATATATTAATATTACTTCTACATCTCACTTTAAGATATAATACTTTCTTTAAACAATGTGGATTTATTGACTCTTTTTAGAGCTGAAGTCTGTTTTAAATTTCTAACAGGTCAATTTTGTTTTTAAAACACCATCAGTACTGCTGGCCAGCGGTGGTTAATTCATGACAGTCTGGCCGATCTCAAAGGACAGAGATTGAGCATGGAATGTTTTGCCATCCAGCATTGTGCTGACATTATCAACAGTACAACTTGGTAAACATTTATTGAGTATCTACTGTATACATGTAGATAATGAGATAATGTTTCTACACTTGAGAAGCTTTAATTTGGACATTTTTTGAACTAGATAATATTTAGGATGCTAGGTTTCTGTTTGAATTTTTTATTTTCCCATGAATGTTTATTTAACATGAGCAATGATAAGGCTGCTGTGCCATGTATTATGGTAGATACCATGGTGAGTATGGGACAGTTTCTACTTTTCCATTGCTTATAAATCAATAAATTAGGTGGTTTGCATTATAATCGCAAAGCAAAGCAGGTCGTGATATGCAGCAATCATAAACAGAGCATTATGGGGGGCTTGAAAGATGAGATACATTCAATTGAGTAGACAAAGGAATACATGAGGATAGGTGACTCTTAAGTTTGGTCTTAGTTCAAGTCGGAAAGGAAGGAATATTTAAGGTAGGTTATATAACTATATCATGTATGAGGTACCTTGATTGGAGAAGAGTAGTATTACTGAGCTATTGTAAATTAGGTGTCTTGAAGTTCTTATCTACGTTTGCCTGTTCTTTTATTTACATTATTTCTTACATTAATTTAAAAAACAGTCTGCTATTTTAACACAAGTTAACACACCATTGAAATGATGATAGACTTAGACTTACTGTAATTGTTATTGGTTGACATTTGTACTGCACTTGGAACCAATTAAAGACCTCACTAAACATTCTTAGGAGTTTAATAAGATAATGGGAACAAATTACAAAATTGAGTTTCCCTGTCTGTGGATTAATTTATAATAGTCATGTAATTTTTTCAAACAGCTAACTAATGACTTTTTATTCCAAGCAGGACTAAAATATGGATATGAACTTTGGCAGTTATTATAACCAGACACTTCCCACAGAGAACAATACTGCTGCCCCTCGGAATTCCAATTTCCCAGTCTGGGATGACTATAAAAGCAGTGTAGATGACTTGCAGTATTTTCTGATTGGACTCTATACATTTGTAAGTCTTCTTGGTTTCATGGGGAATCTCCTCATTTTAATGGCTCTCATGAGAAAGCGTAATCAGAAAACTACAGTGAACTTCCTCATAGGAAATTTGGCCTTCTCTGATATCTTGGTTGTGCTCTTCTGCTCACCTTTCACACTGACCTCTGTCTTGCTGGATCAGTGGATGTTTGGCAAAGTCATGTGTCACATTATGCCTTTCCTTCAATGTGTGTCAGTTCTGGTTTCAACTTTAATTTTAATATCGATTGCCATTGTCAGGTATCATATGATAAAGCATCCTATATCTAATAATCTAACAGCAAACCATGGCTACTTCCTCATAGCTACTGTCTGGACACTAGGTTTTGCAATTTGTTCTCCCCTTCCCGTGTTTCACAGTCTCGTGGAACTTCGGGAAGCATTTGGCTCAGCGTTGCTGAGCAGCAGGTATTTATGTGTTGAATCATGGCCATCTGATTCATACAGAATTGCTTTCACAATCTCTTTATTGCTAGTTCAGTATATTCTGCCCTTAGTTTGTCTAACCATAAGTCATACCAGTGTCTGCAGGAGTGTAAGCTGTGGGTTATCCAACAAAGAAAACAAACTAGAAGAGAAGGAGATGATCAACTTAACTCTTCATCCATCCAGAAAGAGTGGGCCCCAGGTGAAAGTGTCCAACAGCCGCAAATGGAGCTATTCATTCATCAGAAAACACAGAAGAAGATACAGCAGGAAGAAGGCATGTGTGTTACCTGTTCCAGCAAGATCTCAAGACAATCATTCAAGCATACCTCCAGAAAACTTCGGCTCCGTGAAAAGTCAGCTCTTTTCCACCAGTAAGTCCATACCAGGGGTCCGCACCTGCTTTGAGATGAAACCTGAAGAAAACTCAGATGTTCATGAAATGAGAGTAAACCGTTCTATCATGAGAATAAAAAAGAGATCTCGAGGTGTTTTCTACAGACTGACCATATTGATACTGGTGTTTGCTGTTAGTTGGATGCCGCTGCACCTTTTCCATGTAGTAACTGATTTTAATGATAACCTGATTTCAAATAGGCACTTCAAGTTGGTGTATTGCATTTGTCATTTGTTGGGCATGATGTCTTGTTGTCTTAATCCAATTCTATATGGATTTCTTAATAATGGAATCAAAGCTGATTTACTGTCCCTTATACACTGTCTTCATATGTCATAATTCTAATTCTCACTGTTTACCAAGGAAAGAACAGATGTTGTGATCGTTCTAAAGTATATTCATGATAATTATGTGTATATAATAAACAAATTTTGTTAACTTATGTATTTAATTTATATATAAGACTTCTGAATCTGAGTGTCAGTTCATAGTATGTGGAAGACAGTTTTGTTTGTTATAATGCAATGAATTCGTGCAGTTGTGTAAAGTCAGTCTCAGCCCAATCTGTGACTTCACTTTGAAAAGTAGTTCTATTACCATCCCTTTTCCTTTATCTTGTAAACAAATGAATTGTAATTTCTTGTTTGCAATAAAAGTTATATCTACCAACTCAGTATTTTTTGTTTAAAATTATAATAAAATATTTTTCCTGAGGAACATTTAATTTAAAATGTGAGAAATATCTATTATCTCTTCATCTTCATTGCCATTTAATGAGCTTCTTAGTTCTTGGTTTGTGAATATACAGAAAATGTTTAGTGTGCCCAGCAAATTATAAGTAAATGACAGTTGTATGCCCAAATCACAATTATAATTGCAAACATTAGGTACAGTTTTAGAATTCCTACAAGAAAGCACTTATCTCCTATTAGTGATAATTAGTCAATTGTCACTTTATCGCCACTGTCCTAGTAATACACAATTAATTTACCAAATAAAAATAGGTTTTAAATTTTGCCTAGACTTACACCACAACATTAATACTATCAAGTGAAGACTGCTTTTATTTACATCTTTTATATTCTAAAATGTGAAGTATGAATGGTTTTGGTATTTCCAAGTATTAAATAATTTTAAAGAATACTTACAGTGTCCACAGGGAGGGGAAAAGGTTAATTTTTTTCTTTTTTGGCCAAGCTGTAGAATGATTAATATAATTTATGCTATTCAGTACTGAGGTCTCATATGCTATCTTACTAAATTGAGGTCAAGCTTTTCAATTAAAATTTTTGTTTGTTTTTATCAGTTTTTTTAAGAAGCAAGTCCCTGGAAATAGTTGAGTATTTGCACATATGGCTCAGATTGCTGTCTTCTAACCTTGCTGTCTTTGGTTCCTATCACCATTCCCTGCTTTGGTTCCTGTACTTAGGGGAGAGCAACAAAACAAACTTACTAAGTTTGCAAATAATAGGTAATTCTGGTAATTGTTTAATCAGTTGAAGTCTAACATCTCTAGGGGGGCTCTCTGGGCCCCCGTGCTCTTGCAGTAGATGGTCTTGCAAGATGCTCTTGCTCCAGCTCCCCCAGAGGAAGCTGGAAGTGGCGCCGATCCACAAGGTACTCTGCCGGCTCCTGCTGAGCTCCAGCCCAGCACAGGAGTCCTCGTGCCTGACCTCGGTGCTCCGTCAGCCACTGCCTGTTCACTCTATGTTGTTGCAAAAGCGCTCTGCTTTTCAGTCCCTTGCTAGATTTTCAAATATGAGGCTTGGGTGAGCAGTCTCTGCTTTTAGCTTCTTTCTAATTGATCTGGTACTGAGTGTCCTTCCCCAAGTTCTTATATGACAGCAGATAGAAAAAGTGAAGAATCTTTGGTGCCATTTGCTTTTTCTCTCTTCCTCTCCTTTTTACTCAAAAGGGGCTTCTGTTTCTCTTTGCCTACTAAGAATGTCCCCTCTGACAATATCTTCATTTTTCTCCGCACTATGGTTTACAGTAAAACTGTGGAACATCAAGGTTTGGCCCTGGCCAGGCATGTCAGTTGGTTAGAGTGTCCTCTGAACACCAAGGTTGCCGGTTCAATCCCCAGGTCACAGCACAAACAAGAATCAACCAACGAATGTATAAATAAATGGAAAGATAAACTAATGTTTCTCTCTCTAAAAGTCAATAAGTAAAAAAAACGTTTTAAAAACATCAAGGTTTGCTTTTGGAAAATGAAGCTCCTATGATTTAAAAGCTGCCCTGTTCAAGGTTTACATTTAAGACTATTGTCTCACCTTAGACAAAAAAGTGTAAGCTGAAGAAAAACCTCTTATTTAAGAACAACACATATTTTCACTTTCAATAGGGCAATCAAATTTAAAGTTTAATGGATAAAAGGAAAAATCTCACCAATAAGGGCAAATATTTAGAAATACATATGGAGCTTTTTGTACAGTTAGAATCACTTACAGTAGCAATTGTACAGTAACTGTCAAACCTCACAGGTTTTATGGTTGCTGATAGATGAGTTTAGTTAAACTGGGTAAGCTAATTTGGGGCTCTTAAACTATCAAACTAAGAGAAAGCAGTTTATTTCCCTAACCAGAAATGGCTACATGTTCTTAATAACTGAAGGCTGAGAAGTGTGAATGGGTTGGTGGATTGAAATCATTAAGAAGGGGACAATGGTTTTAGATAATTATTATGAATCATAATTTCTTCCGTGGAGATTGCTTAGTGAGCTAAACAATGTACATCCAAACAACTCTCCATTGCTCAAGAGCTGATTATCTAACTTTTTTTTCCTATTCTCTTCTGGTGTCTGACTTGATTACTTGTTCCTTAGCACTCTCATAAAGCATGGCTAGGGGAAATACATGGAGATGAAATTATAAACAGTTAACATCATTACCATTATCAATTATTTTAAAATATTTAATTCAGGAGATGTTAAACTGAGTTTTAGTGGTTAAAACATTCCTGCTAGCTGGGTTGCCCATTACGATAGCTAATAAAACACTAAATAAAAAGAAATCTGAGAAATGCACAAAAAGCAACTAAAATGGTTAAATGATAAAATATGTATGAACATTATTCTATTCCGATATCTATTGAATATCTACTGTGTACCAGGAACTTTTCCAAGTTTTGGGATAGAACAATGAAAAAGATCGCTCCGTTTTGGATGTTTGCTGTCTGGGTGGCGGGGAGCCAGTGGCAGGAGCTGGACAGACAATAAGCAGTGACAACAATCAAAACAAAATTATATAGTAAAAGTATAGTGTACACATAGGTGCGTTCATTGCCTAAGGCTGCTGTAAGAGGACTTGACAGACCATTTACTCCAAAGAATTTATCCTAAAGTCACTTGGAATTGACTGGACATCTGTGTTTGCTAATTGTCTTTATTAGACAGAAGATAAAATACCATATAGCTCTCTGCCAAGCAGGAACTAGTCATCGAGGGTAAGTTTCTACAGAGACAGGGAGATAAGTGAGATCTTGATATTTTCAATTCAAAAGAGAGGTCTCCAAGGCCCTTAGGAAAAAATTTCCTGGAGTGTAAAACTGGCAAGAGACTCTTCAAGCTTTTTGAGACTTAAAAATTAAAGGACAGAAGAGGAATTTACAATGCTTTTTAGGGAAAATGATCTAATCCAGCACCCATTTATGACAAAAGCTCTCAGTAAAGTGGGAATAGAAGGACATAACAATGTAATAAATGCCGTCTATGACAAATCCACAGTCAACATCATCCTCAATGGGCAAAAATTAAAAGCATTTCCCTTCAGATAGGGAACAAGATAGATGTGTTTGCTTTCACCACTCTTATTAAATATAGTACTGGGTGCCCTAACCAAAGCAATCAGACAAGAAGAAGAAATAAAAGGCATCCAAATTGAAATGTAAAGAAGTAAAACTGTCATTATTCGCAGGTGACATGATACTGTACATAGTGAACTCAAAAGATTCCACTAAGAAACTACTAGAACTGATCAATGAATTCAGTAAAGTAGCAGGATACAAAATTAATATCCAGAAATCAGTAGCATTTTATATGTCAATAATGAACTACCAGAAACGGAAATTAAGAAAACAATCCCATTCACAATTGCTTCAAAAAGAATAAAATACCTAGGAATAAATTTAACCAAGGATGGAAGAGACTTGCACTTGAAAAATTATGATGCACTGAAGAAATTGAAGAAGATACAAATAAATGGAAGCATGTACTGTGTACATGAACAGCAAGAATTAACGTCATTAAAATGTCCATACTCTATATTTAAAAAAATAAAACAGTCACTGTTGTCGTTGTTGTTGTGTGTTGTACTTTGGTCGATTCAGCAGCCAAGTTTAGTGGAAACACCGTATACTTTGGACCAATACAGGCCTGGACTAGTATCTCACTAAAGTCATTCAATTAATATGTAACCTTAGCCTACAAGACCCATTTCTCTGAACCTCACTATCTTCATCTATTAAATAGAGATAAGAACATTATATAGGCAAATATCAGCATTAATCAAGATAATATAATATAGTGTCTAGAATAATGTTTGAAACTTTGAATTGGTCTCATATAAAAATTATTATTAATAGCAAAGGCAATAATAAAATGTCTGAATAATGCAATAAAATGATAGAAAAACAGGCTCAGCTATGTAATCACATGGATGTGCATTTAAACCTCAGTTACATGAATTTTAAGTTATGTAAATAAAAGAATACATTCACACCTCTGGTAAGTCACTTAACACCTCTGAAAATAAGTTCTCACATCTATTAGGTAAAAAAAATGACACTAACCTTATAGAATTAAAATGAAAATTAAAGGAGATTTTCTATGTAAGATGACATGTAGCACAGTTTTTGTACAAGAGAAGCCTGCAATGTATGTCTTATCAATCTGTTGTCTTATTACTGCTATTAAAAATCATGAAGAGTATGTGAGTTAGGTTATGGAAAACTCCTAATAGGATGCCTAAGCTGGGAAGTGTAAAAAAGTGTCTTGTCATTACCACCATTAGGAGCTCCACCACCACCACTACTAAAGATTGATCTGGCTGTTCCAAACTTCAGAGTGTCAGGATCGAACAGATGCATACGACAAATAAAGGATGTGTATAAGACAAAAGAATTCCTAAAATTTTCCACAGTTTTGCACACTCACTGTTATGCTGTGAATTAACTTCTCATCAATAAACTTTTCTCAAAATGCATTTTTTTTGTTTTTAAGTTTATATATAGAAACAAGATCTCATGTGTTTGCCATCTCAAAAATACTACTTGTACTTTTCTGCAAAGAGCTGTTCAAAACTGATTTCATGGGTATTCTCTGCAAAACCCAACAAGAC